AAGAGTGGCTGCTGAGGACACACACAGCTCAATGCAGGGATGGGGGGACTGCATAGGGAGTGAGTGAGATCAGATGGGCCCGAAGAAAAGGGCTTCTTCATCCAAACCTGTCTTGTGGTGATATGGTGATGTGGTGGACTTGTGGGGGAGGGTTATTGGCCTGGACTCCAGTGATGTAGTTTCAGTCTGCAGGACAATGCCGTAAAATGGGTTTGAGAAGGTGAAGAGGTTAGACAGGAGGTTAAACATGGCAATCCTTTCGGTCATTCTTCATTACCGGCCAAGAAACTCCAGCTATCTTCTCTACTTTTTGCTCTTCGCAGTACATTTCTCCTTTATGTGAAAGAGAGTCATTTGTGGAGGGTTGGTGGAGTGGGGTGGGGAGAGCCATGTTACAGATCCCTGCATTTTGATACAGCACCTTTCACATTGAGAGAGTGCAGAGATGGAGGGAGGGAGAGAGATTAAACAACAACTTGCATTTATATAGCGCCCTTCACGCGAGGTAGCGTCTCAGAGCGCTTGACATTGCCGGAGTCTGACCCTGGGGAGAGGGAAAGGGAGGGAAGGTGACCGGAAGCACGATCAAAAAGGAAGGTCTTTAGGCGGAATTTGAAAGTGGGCAGGGAGGGGGCGAGGCAGAGGGATTGAGGGAGAGAGAATGGAATGGGCACGAGGGATAAATAGGAGGCCGGAGCCAGCCGCGTGGAGGTGGAATAGGGTGGGTAAACAATTCGGAGTGGTAGGGAGGTTTCGAGGGCATGAAGGGATTTGGAAATCGATCCGTTCAGTAATTGGGAGCCAGTGGAGCCCGGAAGCCAAATAAGAGCAAACACAAAGCTTTGCCTCGTGTCTATTCCAATACGGAGTGAAGCATTTATCTTTGTGATGTTAAGATGTCCAGAGAAGTTAATGACCGCACCAAAAGACATCCAGCGACAAGAGTATGAAAAATCCTGAATAAAGTAGAATAGTGCACAGTAGAGGAGGGAACCCATTCACAGCTTAGAACAAGTTGGTGAAAAACAGAGACCTGAGAATTGATCAGTCTGCCATTATTTTTTTGTTCTGATTTATCTGCTAATAATTTAACCGATTATGGAAGTTAATCCTTCTCCTATCACGCTACCCCCCACCTCCCACCACCAAGATATTAGCGGGCGCTCTTCAATTCTTTCTAATTCTCAGAACATTGTGTGTGTATTGTGATTGCGTTTGTGTGTGTGTGTGTGCGCGTGTTGTGTATAGTGTGTGTGCGCACGCGTGTCGTGTGTGTGTGTGTGCGCATGTTGTGTGTGTGTGGGTGTGCGTGTTGTATGCGCGCATGTTGTGTGTGTGTATACGTGTATCATGTGTGCGTATTGTGGGAGAAACGCAGCAGCCAATTAGCGAGCAAAAAATTTGCATCCTAAGAACAGCCATGAAGTGAACGACCAATTTTATTTATGAGATTATCAGACAGGATACCAGGAGAGAGAGAAACTGCTTCTCTTTTTCGATAGCACCCCAGGATCTTTAAAGTCCACAGGAACAGGAAGACGTAAGAGGGAAACAGGGTAGAGGAAAATTCTTAAATTGTGTCTGAATTTTGGAGTCCATTTTCTGCTCTTCCTACAAATAACCTTTTTATGGCGATTGGCAGATCGCTTTTCCAGTGGTAATAATCCCTCCAAAAAATGATAATAATAATTTGGTCACTAAATCCACGACTGCTTGTGGGACGCTGCTGCCGCACTTTACCTACAAAATATACAGTCAATCCACTTTCCAGTATATTCCGTGAAGGGCTTTGAGACGTCTCGACGACGTGATGAGGCGCTGTATCAAATGCAAAGATCTTTACGTATTATTGTAACCTGCAGAAAATGGACTTCAAGATTAAGGTTGAATTTGAGTGTTTTCCGTGCTCTGAAACATCAAGAAAACAGTTCCAGTAAAATAGTTCTGACGAAGGGTCGTGGACCCGAAACGTTGACTCACTTTTCTTTCTCCATAGATCCTGCCTGACCTGCTGAGTGTTCCCAGCGACTTCTGTTTCCAGTAAAAAGGGTGCAATCTCTGGCCCCAGCTGGCCACAGGGCGTCATGTCCTGGCGACGGCATGGTCCCACAGAGGAAGAGATCGCACTGCTACCTGTGTCGGCAGGTGATGTGGGCAGTGTGCACAAAAGAGTTGCGCAGTTGTGACCCAACCTAGGAGACAACCTAAGGCTGTTTTCATGGCTGTTCGTGGAACGTTGCTGTGCATGATTGACCGCCAAGTTTCGCCCCCAAAACACACAGTCACAGCCACCTTACAGCATATCCCGTGAAGCGCTTTGAGACGTCTCAACGAGGCGATAAGGCTCAAATGCAAGGATCATTATATTATTATTACAGAGCAACTGACTGAAAACAGGCTGAGCAAAACACACTGTGATTAATAAACCTGCACATTCAGAAGGTAAAAAAAAATTAGGAAAATTATCACTGGAATAATTTCACTGGAGAATTCCCGACAATTTTTAATTCTATATTTTTAACCTCTTATCTTCCAAATATGTTTCCAGTGAATAATGTAGCCTCATTTCTGCCAGGTACAGAATTCTTGCATTTGATGCAGCACCTCTGAGCGAGTCTCGAAATGCTTCACAAAGTTTCTGTAAAGTGTAGTGACTGTATACTTGCACAGCCAAGACTCCAGTTTGAAATCGGTGCTTCAATGACAGAAAATAGTGATAGAGCAGCTGAACACTCAAGCGACTTTGGATGCAGTGAAGCACAGAGCTTTAATAATCATTTCATCTTAGACTATATGAGCTCCAAGTCCCAACATGGGGCTAGGATCCACAACCTTCTGACTCAGAGACGAGAGTGCCACCAATCGAGCCAGGCTGACACACAACCACAGCATCAACTTGCACTTATATAGCACCCTCCACGCAGGAAAGCGTCTAAGAGTTTCGGGGTGTAGCGGCTGAATGCGCGACCTCCAAAGGTGGAACAAAGGGCGCGAGGGACAAGCAGGAGGCTGGGAGTGAGGAAGTCGGAGAGGTAGGGAGGTGCCAGAGAGTGAGGGGGTTTGAACACGAGTGTGAGGGGCATGGAGGGCAGCAGTGCCAGCCACTGAGACGATTACAGGCAAGAATATTGATCAGTTTATAAGCTTTTAACAACAGCGATGGCACCTTGTAAAGGTGGAATTACGTGAAAAGCGCTATATCAAATGCAAGGATTATTATTATTATTAAGAACCCTGACCGGGCAGAGAACCCGCCCGCCGCGCACTTGCTGCAGATAACCACAAGGTGGAGCCATTGGACGAAGATTAAGAATGACGGCAATCAGAATACCTCAAATAAACACCGAAGCATTTGTCTCAAACAGCCAAGATATGAATGACCCATTTTATTCATTATTATGTTGGTTGCTGTGTTCGCCCACAAATTAGACAGTAACACCACTTTATAGTATATCCTGTGAAGCACTTTGAGACGTCTCGAGGACACTATAAGGCGCTGTATCAAACGTAAGAATTATTATCATTATTTTATCACATCATCGAATCGTCTCAAAGCGCCTCTCGGGATTTACTTAGACGGAAGGATCATTCACTCCACGGCTGTTTGTGGGAGATTGCAGTGTGCAAATTAGCTGGCGCTGTCACCTGTAAAGCACAGTCACTACGCCTCACACTTACTAATCGCGAAGACGTTAGTAGGCAGTGTACCAAATGCAAGGTTAATTTATTTATCGGAGATGATGTGATATCTGGCCTGGGCTAGCGCGATCCCACAGCCCTTGGGAGATTTGGGAGAGCAATTCTCCCAATGCACACTCTGGGGGTCCCCAAGCCTTGGCTCTTGCCAACCTGTGCCTAATACTTTCCAGAATTAGGCCAGCGCCTTGGGACGTCCTCCCGACATGAAAGGCGCGTTACAAATGCAATCTTGTGGTTGTTGTAAGCAGGATGTGTCCCTCCAGGGAGAGAGAGAGAGAGAGCATTCCATTCCAATAATCTATCTCTGGGATTTCCAAGTATAGTCTGGTTGCGTGGAAATCTCAGTTTGGTTTGGATACTCTTAAGCAGCGGTGATGGGTTTTCACACGGGTCAGACGCCCGGCTGGACAACATAAATAAATAAATAAATAAATAAATAGCTCAATGCCTCAGCTCGACCCTGGCTTAACTCGTCACTACCACTTAAGTCGTCAAACTGTCAATAATAATATAATAATAATCCTTGCATTTGATATAGCGCCTCATCACATCTTCGAGACGTCTCAAAGCACTTCACAGAATGTACTGTAAAGTGAATTGACTGTATATTTTATGGGCGAAACGCAGCAGCCAATTGCACACAGCAGCGTTCCACAAACAGGCGAGGATTGAGTGACCAGATTATTAAATCAAATCAATATCTCGGCTGCGTTTATTTATGTATTTATACACATGCCTAACTCGCCGCTCCTGATAACTCATCACTGAGCTTTTTTCCCCTTGGGTAACGAGTTAACAGGAGTTTACTCCTGATAATCTAGTGGACCCAAACTTGTTCAGGGCTTAAAAGGTTCTATTAAAATTGGCTGTAGGTATGAAAATAAGAACAATTTTTACATTTGTACAGCGTCTTTCATGTCGGGAGGATGTCTCAAAGCACCTCACGGGATTTTACTGTGAAGTGTAGTCACTGTGTGTTTTGTAGGCAAATAGGTTTAGTACAACAAGTGCATCACAATCTCTCAGAAAGCAGCTTTGATATCAAATACCAAACTAACTCTGATTTACCAGCATCGATAGAGCACAATTTAAATACTATATTTATTGTAATTTCATAACATTTTTCTCTGGTGTGGGGGGAAATCGCACAATTAATTCAGGGCTGCGATTTGAAATACGTTGAGGGGATTATTTCTCCATATTCTCATTAAAATGTTTAAAGACTTAGCAATGACAACAGCCGGGGCCACGACAATAAACAAAATAACAAACAAACAAGCAAGCAAACAAAGAAACAATCACCAGCAACAACTTGTAGCTCTCTTCAGGCAGGATAGCGTCTCAGAACGCTTGATGAAACGCCTTCAATACAGACCCTTAAATAATTGATCGAAGTAAATGGAAGTAAAGAGGTGGATCCTGTTCAGAGGGTCACAATAAATCGTCTTCCACGTCGCAGCCCAGAGCTTCGATGTCGTGGGTGATGTTCGAAATCATTCTCTCAAAGGTGTCGGATTCCGAAGGTCCCGACCAGCTGTCATAACTCCTGACAGCGGAGGCTGAGGTGTTGCTCATGCTGCGTTTGATCCGCCCGAAGCTGTCCGTCAGGATCCCCCTCCCGTCCTTAATGCCGATGGTCTCCAGAAAACTTTCAAAGTAACTGGCGTCCTTATCGGGTATGAAAGCCCGCATTCCTGCGTCAACAACAACAACATCATCATCAACATCAACATCATCATCACCAACAACAACAGCAACATCATCATCATAATAATCCCTCCAAAACAAATAATAATTTGGTCGTTTTCAATCCACGACTGTTTGTGGGACGCTGCTGTGAGCAATTGGCTGCCAGGTTTCGCCCACAAAAATATATGGTCAATTCACTTTACAGCATATTCTGTGAAGCGCTTTGAGACGTCGAGAAGACGTGAAAAGCGCTACATCAAATGCAAGGATTATTATTATTGTTATTATCAACATCATCATCATCATCAACAACTACAACAACATCAACTAAACGTCATCATCAACAAAAACAATAGCAAGGCACGAGTGGCTCAGTCATGCTTCGGGGTATCTCCTGTTTTTACAGGAGGAGGCAATTAAAAAAAATTGAAAGTGCGGATCCAAAACAACAACATCTTCTACATCATCAACATCAACAACAATAACCACATCAATATTTTTACGTTCGCACGGCAGCTTTCACATCAGGAAGACATTTCAAAGCTCTTCATCCTTTCCGTCACTTCTGGAAGCAATGTGTGCGGCAGCGTCCTGGCCTCGATCAATCCGTCCCGGTAACCTGTTCCAGTTCTCTTACCCCACTGCGTAAGATAAACATTGCCTGGTTTCTGTCCTGAAATTGCCCTTTAAACCCTGCGCGCTCTTGTTCTCATGTCTCGGAGCATCCTAAAGTATTGTTCTGGGTTTACTTTACCAATCCCATAAAAAAAGAAATGTCTACAACTCTACCTCTCCGATACTTCTCCTTTGCAGACTGAAGAGTCCTTCAGCTTGTCCAATCAGTGCACAAAGCTCATTCCCCTAACACTGAGTATCACTGAGTTAGAGGTACAGTATAAGGGTTTAGTTTACCTAGACCCTTTGAAAGCTTCAATAAGATCTCTCCTGAGTCTCCTCTCTCTTCCAGCGTCAACACACTCAGCTTCCGCCACTGCAACAGAATGTTTTACCTAGAAGAAGGAACTTTCGATTCTCCCCGTAGAGGCGTAGAAGATCTGAGCAGTAATCCTCCACCGAAGCTCCAATTCGATACTCACGGAGAAGCAGAGCAAACTGCTGAATTTCTTGTGCTGATAACTTTGTTCTTAACTATTAAGAGAATAAGAAAAGTTTAATACAATGGGGGTGAGGGGGAGTGAGGGGTGAAGTACCTTATATTATGTTAAACCAAGGACTTGTCGGTGCCCTGTTCGGGTGGATGTTAAAGATCCCGCAATGCTATTGGAAAAGACGAAATTCCTGTAGCGTATTGGTTAGCGCACTCGCCTCGCAAGCGAGAGGACCTTAGGTTCGATTCCCGGGCAGGGAGAAACGATAGGCAAGTTTCCTTACACCACACATGTCTGTTTACCAGCAGTAAGTAGGAACCTGGTTGTTGATCGATTGGTGGATTGCTTTCTGGGGTTATTATTATTATTTCGCCCGCAAAATATAGTCAATTCACTTAACAGACTATTCTGTGAAGCGCTTTGAGACGTCTCAACGACGTGATGAGGTGCTGTATCAAATGCAAGGATTATTATTGATTATTTATTAATATTATCTCTGGAAAGCGATCTGCTAATTGACAACCAACGGGGTTCTTACTTACTGCAAGGTAAGCAAAGGCATGTGTGCGGAGTAAGGAAACTTGCCTAAGGTTTCGCCCTGATGGGAGTTGAACCCAGGTCCTCTCTCGAGGCGAGCTCGTGATGGTGGCGATGCATGAAGGATGTACTTACTGTGGTCATGTAATCCTGCAGCAGGTCAGATTCAATGCTGCCCTGATCGCTACCACTGCAGGCAGTGCCTTGACTGTACTGGGAGCCCCTGTATGAGGGTGATGAGCTGCCGTTGTAGTAAGGCTCAAAGGTCTCCTGCGACCCATTGCTGCTCACAGAGCGGGAAAGAGAAATTAATAATAATAATCCTTCCATTTAATATAGAAACATGAGTAGGCCATTCAGCCCCTCGAGTCGGTTCTGCCATTCTATAAGATCGTGGTGGATCTATACCTCAAGTCCAATTACCCGTTATGGCCCCATATCCCTTAATACCCTGACCTAACACGTATAACGCCTGATCACATCATTGAGACGTCTCAAAGTGCTTCACAGGATGTATGGTAAAGTGGAGTGACTGTGTATTTTTGTGGGTGAAACGCAGCAGCCAATTGCGCACAGCAGCGTCCCGCAAACAGTCGTGGATTGACTGACCACATTTTAAAAATGGGGGAGGAAATAATTACTCCCGGAAAGCGATCCGCCAATCAACTAACAACCGGGTTCCTACTTACTACTGGGTAAACAGAGGTGTGAGGAGTAAGGAAACTTGACTAAGACTTCGCCCTGCCCCAGGAATCAAACCCAGGTCCTCTCGCTTGCAAGGCAGGCGCTCTAACCAATGCACTTGTGGACCACAAACACAATGAATGGAATCCATTCCATTATAATAATAATCCTTGCAATTGATACAGCACCTTATCACGTCTTTGAGACGCCTCAAAGCGCTTCACAGAATATACTGTAAAGTAAATTCACTGTATATTTTGTGGGCAAAATACAGTCCATTAGCAGGGCAACCAGGAAATCCCATTCCTGGGACTTCATTAATAATAATCCTTGCATTTGATATAGCGCTTTTCACGTCGGGAGGACGTCCCAAAGCGCTTCACAGAACACACTGTAAAGTGAATTGACTGTATATTTGTGGGCGAACGCGGCAGCCAATTGCGCACAGCAATGTCCCACAAACGGTCGTAGATTGAAAATGACCAATTTATTATTGTTTTTGGTTTTGGAGGGATTATTATTAGGCTGTGTGTGGAGTAAGGAAACTTGCCCAAGGTTTCGCCCTCTGCCTGGAATTGAACTCAGGTCTCTCGCTTGCAAAGCGAGTGCTCTAACCACTGAGCTACAGGACTCCAAATAATTCTGCATAATTCTTAATAATTCTTTCTGGGACAAATAACTTACAAAGAGCTGCAGGAACTGAAGTCTGCCTCATAACCGTAGGTTTCATTCGTTTGTTGGCTATCGCCTAAAGAATGGAACAGAGAACATGACTTAATTCCTATTGCCTTGCCCCCACTGAGGCTATCAAATGATAATAATGATAATAATCCTTGCATTTGAAACATATCACATCGAAACATCCCAAACTACAATCAACAACAATTACACATTTATATAATAATAATTATAATAATCCTGGCATTCGATATAGCGCCTTGTCACGTCATCGAGACTTTTCAAAGCGTTTCACAGGATATACTGTAAAGTGTACATTTTTTTTAATCGTGTATTTTGTGGACGAAACACAGCAGCCAGTTGTGCACAGCAGTGTCCCACAAACAGCCTCATGGAGGTGAGAGACCCATTTTATTTGGGGAGGGGGGAGTATTGGCCAGGTCATTAGGAGAGAAAGACTCCCTTCTCTTTTCTAATAGTGTCACGGGAACTTTAACATTCACCCGAAAAGGCAGACGGGACCGCGGTTTAACAACAACAACTTGCATTACAGGGTTCACTGTAAAATGTAGTAACTGTGGGTTATGTAGGCACATCTGAAGGTTTTAGCCCCGTTATCTGACCGATAATTCAGTTGCTCTTCCCTTCCCAGGCTCACTGGAAGTATCACAAGTGAAGGGTTTTGGGTGTGTTGTGGAGGGAAGTGGTCAGGGAGATTATATTAACGGAGCTCAGTGGTGTCGCTGCAGCTGATCGATCAACTTTGTTCCATCAATGTCTTTTTAGTTTATATATTTTTTTTTAAAAATTGCCGTCGCTGTTTTGGTCGAGGAGGAAACCTCTCTCTTTAATCTCACTCCGCCACATGAAGCAGTTTCCTGTCCGATGACCAGTCACGGTGCAATCCAGTTCACAGAGACAAAGAGAAAGCGCTCCACAGGAAATCACTGCTCTCAGCACAGGGCTGAGTAACACAGCAACTTCCACAAAGCGGGAGGGGTGTGGGTGGGAGGAGGGAGGAGGGGGTAGAAGAATGGAAGCACAACTCGATTCCCGGGCGGGGTGAAACCTTCGGCAAGTTTCCTTACTCCGCAGACCTGTTTACCCAGCAGTCAGGAGGAACTCGGGTTGTTATTTGACTGGCAGATTGTTTTGTGAGGGTAATAATCCCTCGTATTAAAAAAAAACTGGTCGCTTCAATCCACAACCGTTTGTGGGACGCTTCTGCGTGCAATTAGCTGCCGCGTTTCGCCCCCCCAAAAAAAATACACAGTCACTACACTTTACACAATCCACCCTCCCTGCCCTCCACTCCTCCTGTCAGATGGAGCCACGGGGTGGACGCTCAAGGCCCGAGACTCACTTCTGTCCATTAACCAGCGTCTGTCCGGTGTCGAGGTGTAATGGAAACCCGCTCGGTCCACACAGTCGATGGTCTGATCGGCGTATATGACCCGGAAAACCTGGCAGATAAGGGAGCAGTATTCCTCAGCAGAGTCCTGGTTGCAAAGGAACGACGACGACAACAACAAGAAGGCACATTAATACACCAATAAATAATAAATAATTCCCGCGCTTGACACATCAAGAGGACGTCTCGAAGCATTTCACAAAGTGGGGGAATAGTTGACCAAAAGCACGGACGGAGAGATAGGTTGTCAGGCTGGTTGTGAAGGTGGGGAGTGGAGGGAGAGGCAGAGGGAGAGAGAGGGCAAGGGAGATCCAGAGAGCGGGGCAGAATGGCTGAAAGCTGTCCCACTAATGGTGTGATGAGACGGAGGGAGAGGGCGGGGATGGTAAAGTTTGGGGAGGGGGGGCTGGCGGGGGAGGAATGGAACGCGAGGACAAGGGTCTTGAATTCAATCCCAATGGGGTAATGTGTGTGTGGGGGGTGGGGGTGGTATGTGAGGAGCCAGTGGAGAAGCAACGGTTATTGACCATCACATGTGTTAGAGTTAACAGGTGCCTGAACACATGATGATAGAGAAACAGCAAAGAGAAACAGCGCACCCTGCTGTCCACGGAGAGAATGACGAGGTTACAGGAGGTTTCTGAGCTGGGCTCCTGGGTATCTGGTGTGGTCGCTCCTGTTTGTCTGCGTTCCAGGCTGCCCCCGGCCGCCATAGCCACTATTCCCAGCCCTGGAATTACACAGAAGGTCACAGCGTGGATTCTCAGGCCATTCACCACAGAGACAGACAATTTACTGCACTGGAACGTCCCACAAACAACCGCGACGGTGGGGGGGCTGGTTAGAGTAGAGAGGTCCAGTGGGGGAGCGAGCACCAGCACAGACACGATAGGGAGACAGAGAGAGAGAGAGAGCAGGGAATGATCTTCAACGCAGGGTAGCATCCCAGAGCACTTGACAGTGGCGAGATGGGGTGGAGCAGGAGGGAGGGGGGGAGGTGACCGTAGGCACGATCGAAGAGGAAGGTCTTCAGGTGCTAGAAGAGGAGGGATAGAGGACAAGTGTTCCAGGGTTTGGGGCGTGAGTGGCTGAAAGCGCGGCCACCGACGGTCCAACCAACCGATCATAGTAAACATTAATAAAAATAAATGAATAAAAAATTAAAATAAACACTATTTTAGAAACGAATAATTAATAATAATCAATAATAATTAATAATAATAACCCAACCGAGACCCAGACTAGTGCTTCCCCAGCTCTTCTCTGCGAACGTCCCACAGTCAACCGCACAGCCTGCCTCGCTCACTGACCGGTTTTGAGCACGAGCAGGTGCAGGGCATCGTCACGGACGTAGGAGACGGCAGCGATCTCGTGGGTGGGGATACGCAGGATGAGCTCCTCGTTGTCCCTCCAGGTGAGCAGGAGGCAGCGGGCAGACAGGCTCAGGATCGTGTCCTGCTCAGGGGTCGTTTGCAGCGGCAGCTGCTTCTGTTGCTGTCACGGGCAGAAACCTCAGTGAGGGGCAAACATAGGGCACCAGACCAACTGCAACCAGACCAACTGAGTCACATTGAGACATCCCAAACTACTCTTAACAACATTTACATATTTATATAATAATAATAATCATAATAATAATACTACTAATAATGACGATAATCCTTGCATTCGATATAGCGCCTCATCATCTCGTCGAGACGTCTCAAAGCGCTTCACAGGATATTCTGTAAAGCGCAGTGACCGTGTATTTTGTGGGCACAACGCGGCAGCCAATTACGCACAGCAGTGACCCCACAAACAGCCGTGGATTGAGTGACCAATTTTATTTACTTGGGGGATTGTTGGCCAGGACACTGAGAGAGAGAGAGAGAGAGAGAGAAACTCCCTTCTCTTTTCGAACAGTGCGGCGGGATCTTTAACATCTACCTGAACAGTTGAAGGGACCTCGGTTTATACGTCTTCGAGACGTCTCAAAGCGCTTCACAGGATACACTGAAAGTGAAGTGACTGCATATTTTGTGGGCCAAACGCAGCAGCCAATTGCGCACAAACAGTTGTGGATTGGGTGACCAAATTATTATTATTCTTCTTCCCCCAGGAAGCGATCCGCTAATCGACTCACTGTGGGTAAGTGGGAACTTACTGTTTTCCCTCTTTTCTCCCCCAATTCCACCCTACAAGCACATCCCCTGATCCTACCCTCCCTCTCACTCAATCTTGCCCAACGACTCGACTTGCTGGGAATCAAACCCAAGTCCTTTCACTTGCAAGGCGAGTGGTCTAACCACTGGGCTACAGGACTCCACATTGTATTAAGAGTGAACAGCATCTCTTACCCTTGCTGTGTCCAGTAGCTGTAGGAGGTCCACTTTGCTGGATGGATTTAAAGAACAGGACACCAATGTCAAATGGCCCAGAAACTGGAGGGAGAGATGAGATGTTTCGTGTTACAGCCGGCAGACAGCGTTGACCTTGGCAGCGAAGGATCACTGGACGTGCTGAATGTTTTTTTTAAAACTTAGGGGGGGTCGTTAGCAAGCCTTTGACATAGGCCAAACATCCCCCCCACCACCCACCCCCGCAGCCAGTTTTCCCACAGCGACTTCCCACAAACAGTCATGGACTGACTGACCAATTTTATCTGAGGAATTATTGCTCAGGACACCAGGAGACAGAAACTCCCTTCTCTTTTCAAATAGTGTTTCACGGGATCTTTAACAACCACCCATACAGGCAGACAGGATCTCGGTTTTAATGTCTCATCCAAAGAACGTCACCTCTGACAATGCAATACACACACACACACCCCAGCACTGAACTGTGTGTCAGCTAAAACTGTGAGTTCATGTTGGTGAGCTAGAGGGAAGGGTGGGAGGGGAGGGGGATGTGAGTGTAGGGTGGGGAGGGAAGGGTGGGATTGTGCCACAGTGGGTGGAGGACACATCTGGACAAACAAAATATAGTCCTGCATCTAATACCGTTCTCACAGAGGAATCGGTTAGTGTTTGATGGGATGTGCCAGCTCTTAGCAAATTAACCTTCACCCTGAACAAATCCGTTTCACCTCTAGGTCCACGAACAGATGTGGCTGATCATCCTCCCCGTTTATGTCAACATCACAGGATTGTCTGGTTAACCCTGGCTTTGCCTTGTTGTTCCCATCGTCCTCACAGAGGTCACCCCTGGTCTGTGCCTGTGGCCGTTAAAGATCCCTCGAAAAGAGAAGGGAGTTTCACTCCCACCCCTCCAACCCTGGTTTACTGGCCTACAATCTAACCCACCCCAACCCCCACCCCACCTGCCACATCATCACTTCACGTTTCTTTGTGGGGTACTGCTCTACTGGCTGCTACAATAACACCCCATGACTAACTCCCCAAAAGTGCGTGGGTTTTTAATAGGTTGGTAATGAGATCAAGCACAGCTTGATCGGTTGGCGAGAGGAACCAATTCCAATCAGAGCTCCGAACTACGACATTTCAGGAGCTCAACGAAAAAAATAAAATCCAATTAGCCACTTGCACTCAACTGTTTTGCAGAGGACGTCATTTGGTTATAACCTGCTGCTTCCTGGCTTATCTCTCGTTCCCTGACCCTCATGGAGAACACTATACCATTTACTCCCTGGTGAGCGTGCGCCAATGTATTTTTGCATATTAAATCATCGCTTAAGAAACTGTTTGAACTCCAGGTGTTCTCTTCCATCCACTTGTGAGCAGCGGTTCTCATTTCACATTAAAAAAATAGCCACAAAGAGACTCCGGAGCCAAGAAATTCCATCCCATTTTGGGGCATTCAGGAAGCTGAGCTTCACACGATTCTGAAAAGGAACTTACATCAAAAGAGGCTAATTCTGGCCTCTGAAATGTTGAGACGTCTCAAAGTGCTTAACAGAATATAGTGTAAAGTGAAGTAATATTTTGTGGGCAAAATGCAGCAGCCAATTGGGCACAGCAGCGTCCCACAAACAGTCGTGGATTGAGTAACCAATTTATTATTTGTTTATTTTTGAAGGATTACTACCTCTGAAAAGCGATGCCCCAATCGACGAACAAGCGGGTTCTTACTTATTGCTTGGTAAACAGATAAGTGTGGAGTAAGGAAACTTGCCTAAGGTTTTGCCCTGCACGGGAATCGAACCCGGGTCCTCTTGCTTGTGAGGCGAGTGCACTAAGCACCACACTACAGGACTTCACTTCCGACCTGATACATTTCCTGGTCGATCAGGAAACAACTCACCTTGACCTCTTTCTCCAGGTAGTCGTGCAGTAGGATCTCGGGATCTATAGGATAATCAGGGGGGAAGAGGGGGATGGAGTGCAGAGGTCTCCTGTACACCTTATTCCTCTCCCGGTGCCTCCTGCTCTTGTCGGCTTTGGGGAACACCAGCCTCTTAATGGGAGACACGAAGCCCTGAGAAACAAGAGCAATTTTCAACTTTTTCGAAAAAAAATAATTCTTTGTAAGTTAGCCTTCACAAAACAGGGCAAGTAATTTAATGATAAAAATGATAATAATCCTCAGGAGGACATCCCAAGGCGCTGGAGAGTCAGGGATCCGCACCAGAGTGAGTGGTTGGGATCAAGAGGGGTGGAGGGTGGGGAGGGTAGGGGTGGGATGGTGACCGAAGGCACGGTCGAAGAGGAGGGTCTTGAGATGGTCTTGAAGGAGGCAAGGGAGGGGGGGAGTGAGGCAGAGGGACTGTGGGATGGAGTTTCAGAGGGTGGGGGCAGTGAGGCTGAAGGCTCACCCGCCAATGGTGGGGTGGGTGGGTGTGGGGATGGGAAGCAGGCCGGAGCCCGCTGAGCGGAAGGAACGGACAGGTCAGGAGGGGTTTAGGAGGTCGCAGAGGTAGAGGAGCAAGGCCGCGCAATACAACGCAGTTTACACTTACGCAGCGGCTTTCACGTCGGGAGGGCGTCCCCAAGCACTTGAAAGTAGCAAAGTGGTACAAAAAAGCAAAGCAAACCTCCAGCGACGCACATTTCCAACAAGAGAACAAATCAGAGATGATGCATGTGGCGTGCTCGCCCGTTATCGCTGCAACAAATCACTGTCGCAATGAACGAAGGCTTTTTTTTTTAAACGGTGAGAAGCAAGTACTTCAAGAACAGGAGGAGAACATTCAGCCCTTTGAGTTTGCTTCACCATTTTATCAGATCACGGTTGATCTGCAACTTAATCCCATTTGCCTGTCTTTTCACACCATCTCCCTCGATGCCCCGCCTACCAAACATTTATCTGTCTCCCTCTTAAATATTTTGATTGATCTACAACCTATTTTGATGGTGAAGGGGGTGGGTGTGGGGTGGGGGCGGGGGAGAAGAGATATCAAATTGAACATTTCTGCAACCCTTTGTGCACGAAAGTGATTTGGTTTCCGATTTTCTCCCCAAAACTGGTTTGCCTAAGATTTGGTCATTTCTGTTCTGGATTCCCCTAACAGAGAAACAAGTCTCTCTCCCCTCTTATCTATCTTATCAAAGCAAAATCTGCTACAGAGATTGTTTGAGCCAACAGCTCCCCCCACCCCCACACTTGACAAATTATACAAAGAAAAAAAATCAAACCACTTCGATAAATCTGTGCACATCACTGTGAACAAAAATTATGCGATTGACAGAAAGATCCCTTAATTCCTAGTTTCCTACTCCTTCTCCCTCCCAGTTAAAAAGGTTTTCCGTAAACATTTGTGAAAATAAGGCTGTAAACATCAAAATTCCTCCCTCTATTCTTCACTGAATGTTGAATACAAAACCCTACCGCCCTCTCCCCCCCAAAAAGGAAATTGTGTCCCGCTTATTTACCTCCAAATTGTCTCTCTCGGCCCACGGGGGTGGGTGGGTGGAGTGGGGGGGAAATGACTTTAAAACAAAGTTTGAGGTCACGACTTGTTTGTGTGCATTTCAAATCTGTGTACGGTTCACATCACATCAAATAATTCATCAAAATGTTCACCTTTCTCCCTTTCTTCACGTCTTCATCCATGTTTCCGCAGTTGTTCCGAGCTCCTTGTGTGTTTGAGCGTGTGTTATGCGCGAGTGAGAGCGTGTTACAGTGTACGTGTGATATGTATGTGTGTGTTTTGTGTGTGCAAGAGACAGAGACAGAGAGAGAGAGAGAGTCTGGCCCTTTTTTCTTGCAGGAAACTCCACCAAGTAAGTTCCGATGCAAACTTTTAACAGTTCTTCCTCCTGGGGCTGATAGCAACATGCAAGAGCCCATTAAAAGCCTTACAAGCTTAGCTCTATCCTGTCTGCATTATCAGATAAGTCTTTTTTAAAAAAAGACAATATTTTCACCCCAGAGTTGGTATCTCATTATAAATCAGTTTATTTTTACAAATCTCAGGATAAAGAGTTTGGGCCTGAATAAATCGTACAAGCAACGTAGAAACAACAAGAAACAAGATTGTTTCAGATGAAGAAAGCTCTTTGATCTCATCCCTACAGAACACCCACCCTACCTTTCCCCGCATCGCAACAATTGAGCCGCTTTTTAAACAAGTCCCAACTTCCTGGTCTGAACCACACTTCCTGATAACCCTGTTCCAGTCGTTAATTCCCAGCTAGAGTCCCGCAGTGTATTGGTTAGAGCACTCGCCTCGCAAGCGAGAGGACCCGGGTTCGAGTCGGGCAGGGCAAAACCAGAAGCAAGTTTCCTTACTCCACACATCTCTGTTTAGCTAGCAGCAAATAAGAACCCAGTTGTTAAGTCAATTGGTGGATCGCTTTCCGGACGTAATAATCCCTTGTATAATAATAATTTGGTCACTCAATCCCTGACTGTTTGTGGGACACTGCTGTGTGCAATTTGCCCAAAAAATATAGAATCCATCCACTTTACACTATATATTCTGTGAAGCGCTTTGAGACGTCTCAACGACGTGATAAGGCACTATATCAAATGCAAGGACTATTATTATTATCTGAGTAATCCCGGTGTCTGCTCTGAAATTGTCCCTTTACAATCCTGAATCTGCATTCGCTTGTATTCTCTCTCTCCCTCTCCCTCTCTCTCTCTCCCTCCCTCTCTCTCTCATATTGCTGCCTTCATGTTAACAGAACATTTTGAAGGAAAAAAAACCCACAAGCGTTAAAGGACCAAAAGAATGGTTATGGCATAGTTTATTTCAATGGATTTGGTTGTTTTTTTTCCTCCCCTCGTGTGTCGCAGCAAAATAAAAAGGTACAAAAAAGTTTGTGATACAGTATACAAAGTTTCAAGCTCGCAATTACTATTCTGAAATTCTTCCAAAGAGAGAAAAAGACCCATAATATTACAAGGTGGCACCAATAATCTATATACATGGAGAAACAGACTTCCCAATCCTGTTTTTGTTCCCCTTTCCTCTTTATTATTTCAAAACAAAAAAAATTCATTGTTTGCCAGCTGAGATTACAGGAAATCACAGAAAGAAGCGCTTAAAAAGTTGGTTCAAAATTCAACAGCCATCAAATAGCAATCTTTCCTTTTAGCACCCACTACCAGTCGGTTTTTTGATTATTTTTGACAGTTTTTTTTAAAATAACAAAAGAGTAACATTGCAATGAGGTCAACAGACTCTGTTCCCTCCACGTGTAGAACTACTTTTTTTTTCTCCTGGAATAAATGCCCTGGTTCATTCAGTCATTTGTGTGCTAAATAACACTGAACACACACAGGTAGCACAAACCTTATTACATGACACAATTTTTTTTTACCTCACAGTTTATTTCCACTAAGTAAAGCGGTAATACGTAATCATCACACGCAGTCCATCAGCAGCTGTGGAGTTGTGCTGAAAGACCCAGCAAAGATATTGGATGCATCCTCAATCGCACAGACTCACTCTCTCTCTCACACACACACACACACAAAACCGTTCATAGACAGTACATAAAGGAAACGGCAATGGGCAAAACTTGGATTGCCATTGGCATTTCATAATGGGGGGTTGGGGTGGGGAAAGGGGGAGGGAGAATGAGTGAATGCTATGGGACTGAAATGAACGAGCACTTTTATGTAATATTCATGGGACAAAAACGAACACGCACGTTAGGGAGCGTATGAGATTTTTTGTTTACACACACAGACCCGCACACGCAAGACCAACACACAGACACGCACGCAAGTTGGAGACAGACGTACAGCAGCGTTGCCATTGCAAATGGACAAGTAGCAAATACCCTCCGTTGATTTGTTATATGTTTGTTTTATCACCCTCCCTGGTCAGCAAATGTGTGTTATTAACCTGATTGGTGAACGATTCGGAGTATGGAAAATTTGCTGAAATTTCTCACCGCCTTCCCCCACCTTCCAGTTTCTTTTTTGTATCTTCAAGCTCCCAACGTCTAGTTTGGAAGATGGAATTGAACCACTTTTGCCAAATTCCCCACATTTGCTATCATCGCTGTTATTACGGTCATTGTTACCAGCCGTGGGTACGTACGTCAGGGGCATCAGCATCACAAAGGGAAAACTGGTCCTGTCCTGGTTGGTTTTGATAAAACGCCTGTTGACGGTCTGTCTATATGGCATCATTGTGCCCAGTGAATAGGGTGTGTTCACCAATGAGAGAACCAAGCCAGGCTGTCCTTGATCATCAATTAGTGGTCAACCCAAGAAGAGCACAGACTTAAGGCTGGTACTGTAGCTGGTGATCAGTGAAGGAGACTCGCTGTTAGTCTGGTTTGGATACTCCTTTTAGGTATGGTGGTGGATTGCTGCACTTGTCGGTTAACCCCCCAAAAAGAGGAAAGCAAAGGGAATCTCTTCGACCGTGCTTACGGTCACCTCCTCCCTCGCCCTGGCTTGGCATCAGGCTCTGCCACTGTTAAGCGCACCGTGAAAGAGCACTATGTAAATGCAAGTTGTTGTTGAATAACTGATGGCACTGACCAGTCCCTTAAAGGGACACAAAACTTACTTCAAAATATGAAATGAATGATAGAAAGGCACAGAAAACATAAATCAGAAACTAGCAGAAAAATCTGTATTATACATATGTGCACAATGTAAACCATTTGAAAAAAATCTATCTTTTTTCTCTTTCTCCGTTGTACACTTGGCAGTGTCAAGGCTACAAAACATCTGAAAGCAAATAAAAATATGTATTTTTTTAAAATGGAGTCTACGCAAATTAGGCATTGGACTTTTGCTTTAATTGCACTTAAAATGTTAACGTTTGGATGTTTCGGCTCTGTGGCGGCCTGTAATAACTAATTTGTGGTTTGTAAAGAGAAGGGATAAAATCGGAGCATATTCATTCTATGCTATCTGCGCTATTTACTCGAATTTCTCTTCCACAGTATTAATAATTGACCAAAAAAAAATGTCCTTGTGGCAGGGTTCAAATCGAACCAGCATTTAAGCAGTGAGGGAGATTTGCTCTTCCTTCAAATATACACAAGACATAAATAAAAATAAATAATACTAATAAATGCAAGGCTTATTGTTATTATTTTGCTGCACTGTTATGTCAGTTGAATATAAAGCAGGTTTTTGTTTTCATTCTGATTGCTGTGAGCAAAATTGGCTGCTGTGTTGACCCCACAAAACTCAGGCACTCCACTTTGCCATATATATATATATATATGTGTGTGTGTATGTATATATACATATATATACATACACATACCCACACATATATCAACGTGAAGTGCTTTGAGATGTCCTCCTGACATAAACGACGCTGCACTGAATATATTGAATATATTGACTATATTATTAATGTCACTCCAAATAGCACTTGGAAGAAAATCAAGGCAAAAAGACTCAAATCCAGAAGAGGGGGGAAAAAAATTGTCCTGCCCTTCACTACATCAATCATACAAGCTATTCCACTTTAATCAAACTTCAAAGAGAGAGAAATATATGTACAATAAATAATGACTGAGGTAGATATTTCTCTTAAAAAATACAGACACTTGCTTACACCACGAAGATAAAACGAGTGATTGCATGGCACTCCTCCCCTTTCAATATGTTAGTCACAAAAAGTGTAGCATTTTATGAATGATTCGCTAATTTCTTAGCCTTTTTGCTAATTTCGTCTACTTAAACGCACACAGACACACAGAGAGACACACACACACACACTCAAACTACAGCGCAGAATTAATGCAAACAACTGGAAATTCAAAAAGGATCCCTCTCTGCAACTTCCGTGGTTATGTAACCGAATACAATCACCGCCCCACGTGTTCTGTGAAGCTGCTGTAATCCTGCCCACAACCGAAAGCAGCCAGGCTTATTACTGCTAGCTGACACCAGCCTAGGTTTCCATTGCAAGCTTCGTTTAGACTGGCTCTTCGGGAATAAAAGGGTAGAAAAATGCGATGCCAATCAGAAACTGATGGCTAATAATTTCATTTCTAATTCCCCCAAATAAGCACCATATAGACTGCTGGGGGAGTACACCTACAGCCCACTACTTGCTTTGATATCAATTCTATTCCTGCTACCTTCGTGGAATGACCTTAGCAGGATTGCTAATTGCCAATAAACCTATAACCTGCAAACTAGGAAGCCCCTGACAATATTCAGTCCACCTTATGATAATGAATGCAATTTGCTTTGGCCGTAAAATTTATCTCTCTTCCTCCTCCTTTTAGCAAGTTAATTTGAGTCAAACTCTGATTGTTCCAAAGATTTAAATGTTGCGGTTTATGAGAGACTCTGTGAATGAATGAATGAATTAATTGAATTAATCAATATAATACCAATGCACAGAAGTAGAATTCGAGCAACACCGAAAATCGATCACTGCAAAAGAAAAATACAGCTATGAACAGAATAACCTGACATTTGCATTTGGGAGTCCTGCAAGTGAGAGGACCCGGGTTCAATTCCCGGGCAGGTCAGGGCGAAACCTTAGGCAAGTTTCCTTACTCCACCCACACGCCTCTGTTTACCTAGCAGTAAGTAGGAACCCGGTTGTTAACCAATTGAAGGATCGCTTTCTGGGGGTAATAATATGTTCCAAAGGTAACAGTCCTGCATTGGCACCGCATCTAAACACTATATATCCTACTGTTCCCGCTTTTTCGTTACAGATTAGAAAGTTGATTTGGATGAAGAAAGCCCTTTGATGTCATCATTCCAGAATACCTGCCCTGCCTTTGCCCCATGAGTCCCAAGTTTTCTGGCCTCAGCCACCCTTCCTCCCCTTGTTCTATTGGTCTTGAATGCATCCCAAAGAATTCAACCAGGCTACGCTGACAATCCCTGCCACTAACACTGGAGGCCCTTTCAATCAAGGGCCGAGTGGCTTGAAGTGTTCAGAATCAAGGGGAAGGGGAAAAGGCGGGTAATTGGAGTTGAGGTACAGGTTATAATAATAATAATCCTTGCATTTGATATAGCGCTTTTCACGTCGGGAGGACGTCCCAAAGCACTTCACAGAATATACTGTAAAGTGAATTGACTGTATATTTGTGGGCGAACGCGGCAGCCAATTGCGCACAGCAATGTCCCACAAACAGTCGTAGATTGAAAATGACCAATTTATTATTGTTTTTGGTTTTGGAGGGATTATTATGAGGCTCTGTGTGGAGTAAGGAAACTTGCCCAAGGTTTCGCCCTCTGCCTGGAATTGAACTCAGGTCTCTCGCTTGCAAAGCGAGTGCTCTAACCACTGAGCTACAGGACTCCACTGTAGCTGGTGCTGTTCCGCCATTCTATAAGATTAGCCGTGATCTTATAGAATGGCGGAACAGGCTCGAGGGGCTGAATGATCTACTCCTGTTCCTATGGAGAGAGTAGTAGGCATGCTCACAGACTGGCCCGCAGATGTTGGTACCGACATTTCCGGAAGGGAATTTGCTGGTTCAGGGTATGAAACGGGAGAGGTAAATGGATCAATGAAGGAGACTGATAACACACACACACACACACATCTTTCAAAGCTGCAGGACAACACATTTATTCTTACAACCTTAACGGAAGAGATTTATATATACTGTATTTAAAAAAGAGTCCATTTGACACCCAGTAAAAACAATGCATAATATTTTGCATATATTGAAGATTTTTTATGGGGGGGTGGTTGGGGGTGGGGAAGTAAAGGAGAGAAAATATCTCAATTTCTTTTGCGGACATCTCTAAGTGCCTTAGAACTTGAATCGCACCCTGCGCTGCCCCTCAACCATCAATTCAAACAAATGAGCAAAATGATTTTGTAGAACTCTGCGTTAAGCAACAGCACGAAACCCTTCGGTTAATTTTTGTACAATTTTGACATTATTTAAGATGTTCCTGAGATTACACTGGGGCAGTGGTGTTAGTGGAAAAGTGTTAAGATCATGTTAAGATTTTAGGGCCTTGAGACGTCCTCCCGACGTGAAAGGCGTTATACAAATGTAATTTTGTATTGTTATTTTGGAAGGAAATGATTAGCAACTGTTTCGATAAATGTCAGGAAACCTCATGATGTTTTGCTCCTCTATTTTGTGGTCATCCTCCCACCCACTTTGCTTTCCCCCAACACCCCTCTCGATTCCAACCCCCAGCTCGGGTGCAAACCCTTGACTGCCCAGCGCTTTGAGACGTCCTCCCGACGTGAAAGGCGCTTTATAAATTCAAATTGTCGTATCTTTAAGTATAGGGATTTTTCCCCGGCAATGCTCCAATTACCCCTCCCCTCCCTACCCCCCACCCACCCACTTTGGAAGGAAAGATGGCAGATCATGATAAATCAGGCTGGAGACATGGGTGGGAATCGTAACCAAATCAATTGCAAATCTCTTCCATTGTCAGTCAAAATGACTGCGTCATCAGTCACAGTTGAGGACAAAGCACATGGCATGCCAAGGACACATCTCCAGGCATTTGTAGACATTCAGAGATCAGATAATACCCCTTACCCAAGTGTTGCAGAACAATCACTGCCTCCTGCCCCCACTTCCTCTCCCCCACCCCTCATCCCCCACCCCCGGTTGCTTTCACCCCCAAGTTTGGTCATTGTGTTTGGCAAATAATTTGCAAGATTTCTTTCCCCCATCGCGTGCAAACAAACACGCGCTCGTGGTTGCTTTTTTTTTTTAAATGTTTACTTTCGCAAATCATCCAGAAAAAAAACCCTAAAGTTTGGTTGTTCGGTATTTAAACCCATGGCGATAACCAATGGCCTGGAAAGGGTGAGCGATTGCGTCCTAACCACACGTACCCTTGGTTGGTAGCAAAGTCAAATCTTGTGCACCCGGTCCCAATTTTGTTGTTAACCACCTTCTGTGTACAGGATAACCATTAAAACAGGTGAGAAACTCTTTTCAAAGAGCTAGCACCGACACGTTGGGCCGACTGGCCTCCTTCTGCGCTGTACAATTCTATGATTCTATGAAACAAGAGCAGAACAAAAACTGACCGTCCTTCTCTACCAGAACTGGGAGCGTCATTGTCAACACTGCGGCACAACTCCTTATGCTGAGACGCGTCTTCGGCTGCGAGCCGTCTTCTTCTGCACACAGTCCTGACGCATCGAGGGGCCAGTGTTGTGAGACCCCCCACCCCCCCCACCACCACTCCCCCACTGTGCACCATCACTCAGGGTGGGCTTGAACACCTCACCGCCCTACCCTCTCTCCCTCCGCCGCTTCCCCTCACCTCCCCATTGCGAAGGGTCGAGTGTACTCCGTGCTTTGAGGGTTGCTTTGCACGCGCCTACACGGTGGTTTCATATTCCAGCACCTCCTGAGAGAAGCTGATGTTCCTGTACTGGAGCCGGGGTGTGGCGGTCGAAGTGTACTCCAAAGCCAGGATGGACTTGCGTAGGCGCCTGTCGATGAAGTGTGCGTCCCAAGCAGGGTACCTCTTCCTGGGCAGGTCTATCCTGATGACCGGCCCTTCTGTCCGCAGTGTGCGCAACACTGGCGTTGGGGTCACATTGGGCCTGACCTGAAACACAGCCAAGCAACTGTCCCGATCCCCAGGCATCAGCTCCACAGCTGTAGTCCGACACTGGGTCAATCCCCGAGGGGCAGTGGTTACAACCTCCGCAGGCAGGTGCGTGACGGCCTCTTGCTCTCCACCATCAATGCATCCTCCTTGGGACCCAAACATGGGGCCGTTGGGATGCAATGCACCGTAATATATAAACATGAAGAACATTCCCAGGGCAAAACTGCTGAACACCACACAGACGATGATTAAGGCGTAGAAATCTGTTATACGGGAGTCTCTGTACAAGTACCAAAGTACAGTCAAGGTGGTATTTTCGCAGATTGTTATCAAGTAATAGATGGACATCCGGCAGCGAGTCCTTCCTTCCTTCACGTTGAACCAACAGAAAATGTAGATGATTCCCACCACCATGTTATAAATGATCTCCTCCCACTTGGACATGCAGAAGTCCGTTTCTCCGTGGATTATCCAGAAGGTCATAATGCACCAGTGAGTGACGATAAAGATCCCGAAGTACAGCTGGAAAACCGAGGCAAAGAGGGAGAAGGCGACAACCCGGGCGCCGATGGTGAACAGATGCCAGAGGGTCTGGACGACGGCAGCCTTGTAGGACATGGGCATCTCGTCATCCCTGGAATCCCGCAGGATCTTCTGGTAGGACGCGATCATCCAGGCCAGAGACAGCAGAGAGGCTCCCGCTGATAGCCCTGGACCAAACCACACAGAGCAATCAACAACGACAACAAGTTATATTTGTGTAGCGCCCTTCGTGTCGGGAGGATGTCCCAAAGCGTCGGACAGTCAGGGATCCGCACCCTCAGTTCTCAATGGGTTAAAATTAGTGCTTTACAAAGGAAAGGCGACATAGATATGCTAACAATCCAGAGCTTTTTTTTCAACCCCAGCGAGCTTAAGATGCTGCGGCTTTTTTGTATTTATCTACATATATGTGTGACAGAAGTCACTCACATAACTGGGTCCTCTGCAGCTTTGATCCTATGTGAAGTCCTATCCTATCTGCTTTGGCTACAGGAGAGTGATCAGAGACTGTAGAGCTATAATAATTGGATGTGTGACCACAGAACTGTATCTCGCTTATCCTCGGGGGACGGGGGGAGATTTGGAGATTTTCAGTTTGGCTGGGATTTGTAAATTTACATTTATCCAAATAAATTTCCAGCCAAACGATAAGAATGGGCTCCCTCTAGTGGGTAAAGCGCACTGTCCAGCACTGCACTGCACAAAACCAACAGGGCAATTGATCCAAAACCTTAGGCAAGTTTCCCTCCAAACAAAATAATTTGGTCACTGAATTGTGAGACATTGCTGCGTGCAATTAGCTGCCCGTGTTTCACCCACAAATACAGGGTCAATCCGCTTTGCAATATATTCTGTGAAGCGCTTTGAGACGTCTCAACGATGTGATAAGGCATTATATCAAACGCAAGGATTATTATTATTATTATAATAACTTATAGCCCAAACGCTTAATTCACAAAGCGTAAAAATCACACACCCCGAGACGCGAACTCCCACCAGAATTTGCCTCTTAGAGAAACACATCGGCCTCGCTGAAAGGAGTCTTCTGGTTTCCTACCCTTGCTATCTGATCAGCGAGACCTTTCAATTTCGCTGACTGGCTGGAGCCTCGAGCACTAAAGTGACATTTGGTGACCATGAGAGAGCAGACTCTGATCTCAGGCCTGCGCTCGTTCGGTGGTTTCTCCGCGAGGACGTTTCTTTGCGAGGGCGATCAGGTTGAAATTGGGCAGCAAGCAATCTGCATAATGCAGTTTGCGTCATCCGCAATAATGACCTGCGAAGGGGACAGACTGCAACCTGTGCTACAATGGGTGGTGGTGGTGGTGGGGGGGGGCAGGGTGGAGGGCGGGGTTGCACGGGGGCAGGATTAGTAATTAAGTAATGAGGTGGGACGTCACTGTACGCAAATTGGATGCCGTAATCCGCTACAAAATACACTGTTGCCGTATTTTACATTAACTGCATTGGTGCTGGTCGGGGGGGGGGGGGGAGGGATAACTAGTAATTATGTGGGACGTCACTGTGCGCAAATTGCCTGACTCCTTCACCTACACAATACACAGCCACCACATTTACAGTGAATCTTGTGAGATGCTTCTACACGTCTTTATGACTTGAAAGGCGCTAAATCAAATGCAAGGGTTATTATTATTATTATGATGAAATATAATGTGATTCGATTTTCCTACATAACCAACATTCACATTCAATCCTAATCAATTATATTTTGCAAAGCATTTTGATATTGCTGTTATGAATGCAAGTTATCATCATTAAATGTAACATCCTTCCAGGGGTTTGTTTTCCTGCCTGAAAATTATTCCTTTGATTTCCTTTTATTTGAACAGTTTCAAATAAACACGCGTTACTCGTATACTGAATATAGAAAACATCTAAACATCCAGCTTCTAAAGATCACTGGGGCTGAAAAAATTATCGAAAAAACTAATATTTAACAAGCAGAATTTGAGGCCCTAAAAACACAACACGGCCTCAGGGAAGAATAAAATTAGTTAAGGTAAGTTATTTTCTTCAAACCCGCCATGGTATATTTGTTGGGCAGCATCTCCTTGCTTCTCATGATCTTTCAACGTACTGTTAGTAACACTACTTCATAGGAGTCCTGTAGCTCAGTGGTTAGAGCACTCGCCTTGCAAGCGAGAGGATTTGGGTTCAGATCCCGGCAGGGCAAAACCTTGAGCAAGTTTCTTTACTCCACACGCCTCTGCTTACCTAGCAATGAGTAGGAACCCAGGTAATAATTCCTTCAAAATAAAGATAATTTGGTAACTCAATCCACGACTGTTTGTGGGACTCTTCTGAGCACAGTTGGCTGCCGCGTTTTGCCCACAAAATATACGGTCAATTCACTTACAGTATATTCTGTGAAGCGCTTTGAGATGTCTCGAAGATGTGATAAGGCGCTGTATCAAATGCAAGGATAGTTATTACTAAGTAGAAAGTTGGTTGTTAGTCGATTGGTGGATCATTTTTTTTGGGGGTAATAATCCCTCAACACAAAAAATATATTTTTTGGTCACTCAACCCACAAACCGTTTGTGTGACACACTTGTACACAATTGGCTGCCTCAAAGCACTTCTCAGAATATATGGTGAGGTCAAATTATAATCATTAAATTACTGTTCAATTTAAATGCACAGTCAAAGTGGATTGACTGTATTTTGTGGGCAAAACGTGGCAACCAATTGTGCACAGCAGTGTCCCACAAACAGTTATGGATTGAGTGTCTAAAATCTTTTTTGTTTTAATGTCACGCAAGTGAAGACTCTTAAAACAACTTGTGCGTTCTGCTGTGTTTGTTGCAGTTCGGGGTATATTGGTAGCTCTTTGATTAAAAAACGATTAATTATTGAGCCCAGTAGCAGAATGTACTTGTTAATTATAGTTCTTGGTTCTCTAATTCCAAACTGTCCATCAAAGGACTGGTGCATATAATTATGTGTGTGACAGAGGCTTTCCACTGCACCCTATTAATTGGTTCATCTGTAGAAGGGGTTAGAGGGATGCACAATATTCATTGATGTTAATAGCAAGTAAACATCAAAAATTACACTGGGTATAATTAAAATGCTTCCCGTTAACGTGATCAATGCCAACCATTCATTAATAATAATAATAGCCCTTGCATTTGATATAGTGTCTTATCACGTCATTGAGACTCATCAGATCTCTTCACAGAATATACTGTAAAGGAAATTGACTGTATTTTGTGGACAAAACAGGATATTAGGGCGATCGTCAAAAAACAGGAAGGGCGAAACCTTAAGCAAGTTTCCTTACTCCATTTACCTAGCAGTAAATGGGCACCTGGTTGTTAGTCGATTGGCGGATCGATGGGTAATAATCCCTCAAAAAAAATTAGAGTCACTCAATCCACGACTGTTTGTGAGACACTGCTGTGTCCAATTGGCGGCTGCATTTCGCTCACAAAATACAGAGTCAAGTCACTTTACAATATATTCTGTGAAGCGCTTTGAGACGTCTCGACAAAGTGATAAGATGTTTTATCAAATGCAAGGATTATACAACAAGGGAAGCAGGACACTGCTGGGTTGACCCTCCAGAAACAACTCGATGTTGCAATGAGAAGACAGAGGATTGGTATCCTGGAAAGATGAGTCCAAATAAGCCTTAGGATGCTTTGCCATTTCAATCGCTCTTAAGCGCTCTGGGACGCTACCCCATGAGAAAGTCGCTATATAAATGCAAGTTGTTGTTGATTCAATGCATTAAAACAACCCTGAATGAATCGCATTTGTTTTTACAAATTAACAGCAAAGGAAAATAATAAACCAGATCAAACCAATGCTGGAAACGTTTACCTCCATCTGCGCAGTTTTTTAATTTTATTTTAATGCCTCATTGTATGTGTGTACCATCACTCTTTGCTCGAAGTTGCATTGAAATTTCACACATGGCTTCTGTACTTAAAAAGGCTAAACTTCCAGTGATACATATTAATAACTTGGAGCGTTATCTCAGTTTCTTTTAAGTAATGGTGTGTAAAGCTGAATCCACTCTTCCTCTTCATCCTGTGCATGGGGATTTTTTTTGCATTAAACTCAAAGCCTGCGATATGACTTTGTTCCCTAATAGAAATTGCAGAGTGACATAAGCGCAGCGAATCTACATCTCTTTCCCGCTGGCTCCCCCTCCTCCTCAAGGCTAGCCGCTGCCTCTTTTAAGTCCATAATCTGCGCAAAAACAAGTTAAAAATCAAGAGGAAAAAGTGTTTACATGCCTTTCTGCTGCATTGGAACTACCAAACCCCTAACGGGTAGGGTGGTCCCAGCTGGACAAGCAGCGGGAAAGCTTGCCAGACAGCTATATCAAATGGCAAGACACGCGGTTTTAGCTGGTTAGACTCCAGCAGTTACCCCAACGCACACTCTGGGCTCCCCCCAATCCTTGGCTCTCGCCAAACTGTGCCTAATACTCTCCAGAATTAGCTAAGTAGGATGCATGGGTTAGGGTTAGGTTAGGAATGTGCACTCTCTCCAGGGAGAGAGTGCACATTCCATTCCAACAATTTATCTCGGGAATATCCACGTGTAGGTGGGATGTATGGAAATCTCAGCCGGGTTTGGGTACTCTTAAGCAACGGTGATGGGTTTCTGCGCATGTCAGACACCCGTCAGACCCCCAAAAAATGATACATATGAATAAATTGGGATTATCAGACCTTACCTTGTAGCGTTTCGATTTGGTTCCTCTGCACCATGATACTGAGCTGCAGGACAAGTTGTGGTGCATTTTTAAGAAAGGTTTCCAGGAGGCGTAACATGTTGATGTCGGCGCTCTCAAACATCATTCGCCAGTAGAAGTGACGCCTTTCGTGATCTTGGTGCCACCGGCTTTGAATCCCGAGATACATTGCTCTGAGGTACCTAGTTGGGAACAGAAGGATATCAGAATCGTTGGATGAAAGTAGACCAAAGTCCATCCAGTTGGCCTTCCACCATCTTGGCAGTCGCATGCACAGGTCATGCCCCAAACTATACACTGTATCCAGAGGTATTATTTCCTAAAAGAAATCTATCTCATTTGCTGTTGAAAGAAAACAGAAGTCCTCTTTAAAAGTATTTAGTGGCCGCTTATTTCTTAGAAAAGAGTTGTTCTCCCGGATCTCTCTTCCTGTGTTCAAACACAAAATACATAGTCACTGCACTTTGCAGTGTATCCCGTGATGCGCTTTGAAACGTTCTCCTGATGTGAAATGCGAGGATTCTTATTATGATTAATTCATTTCCTTGAAGCTTTAATAATAATGCGACTACTAATAATCCTTGCTGTTGGATATAGCGCTTTATCATGTTGTCGAGATATCTCGAAGTGCTTCACAGAATATACTGTGAAGTATATTATTATTATAATAAGTGTAGTGGCTGTATACTTTGTGGCCGAACAATTAAAAGCTTTACAAAGAAGCTTAATGCCACCACATCATGTGAAAGGGAAGACCCCAATTTACAGCAAGTGAAACTGTGTGTGTGTGTGTGTGGGTTGGGGGGAATCTTACATGACAAATGCTGGGACAGTCCCCCTCCCTGCCTACCCTCCCTCCTAACTCCACCTGAGAATTATTGCTAGTGCACTTAACAGATTGTGTAAAAATAAATAAGGCTTCTAATTTTCGGTTTTAACCAATAACAACTGATACAACACACACAGGCCTGTCTGATTCCTTTCACTACAAATAATAATCTTTGTGTTTGACATAGCGTCGTTGAGACGTCCCAAAGTGCTTCACAGAATATACTGTAAAGTGGATGATTTTGGGGGCGAAACGTGGCAGCCAATTGCGCATATCAGTGTCCCAATAAGCAGTCATGGATCAAGTGACCAAATCATTATTGTTCTCAAATAAGTGAAAGCCTTTTTTTTAAGAACTTGAGAACAGGTAAAAAATATATTTTTTTTAACCCTCCCCCACAAAAAAACACACAAGCTCTAGAAACAATTAAATTAGGGCAGAAGGAACCAAGGCAACATGTTAACCAATTAAACCACTCAGAGAGTAAATGAGCTGCTGTATACAGTACTCCCAGCCTGATTTTACAGTGGCTTGCTATCAGCTCTGATCAAACCGCTCGCATTGCAGTCAAAGCTGCACATTATTCCTTACTCCTGCGTGGTTTTATTCTGTCATTTCGCATGGCAGTGTGGTTCCCGAGGGAGAACTTTAACGCTCTTTGAGTGAGCAAATCTGTCTGGGGGTCCAAATAAAGATTTTTAAAAAGTCTCTCGCCGGACAATGTTTTCAGCACCGCTCGCCCTGGTTCAGAAGATGCCCAATTATTTCCAATGACGTGATAAGGTGCTATGTCAAATGCAAGGATTATTATATTATATAAGCAAGACTTCCCTCCCTCCCACCACCCCCCTCCGCCTGCCCGCCATGCTTAAAGCCATCCGTTCAATTTTTATCAAGTGTCAATCTTGGTTTCTGCAATGTAAATGTACCCAGAACGTCATAGGCAGAGAAACCATTTGCAAGCCAGATAGAAGGACACACTGCTTTACTCCATATGACAGTGCCATGCAAAGTCATCCAGGGATGGATTCCCACCAGCTCTTTTCTGGCATGTAGCTCTCTCCTCTCTCTCCCCACCACCCCCCTCTCTCTCGTGCTGTAAGGATTTCCAGTCTGCAGCACAATAGTCAATAGGTCGTGTTCAATGTGTAAAATTCTCACTCTTCATCGGATGCAACTGAGCAAGGCAGCTGGCAGCATAGCTTCGTAGTCACTAGCAACAGTTGACGGAAGGAGGGGGTGATGGGGGGGATGATAAGTGTTAAATTGACAGGGTCAGAAGTTTAAAATGAAAGACTCGGTAAAAGCCCAAAGCAATAGTGGAATATGATTCACCATATACTAGGTTAAATAATAATAATAATAACCCTTACAATTGATATAGCGCCTTAAGAGACACAATATATACTGTAATGTGAATTTACTGCATATTTTGTGGGTGAAATGTCAGCCGCTTGGAATATTTTATTTTCCTACGCTTGAAACTTATCTAAATCCCAACATCCAAACCCAACTGGTAGACAGGACATTGGTTTAACGTACGTCTTGTCCCGAGGATGGCACCTCAGACAATGCAGAGCATCCCCAGCATTGCACTGGAGTCTCAGACGAGACTATTTGGTTTCAAAGTTTTGATGTGGGGGCTTGAACCCACAAGGCGAGAGCGTGAACGACTGAGCCAGGCCCACACACATATGGAAAGGAACTTGTTGCCGAGTCCTTCGAGAAGCTGCCCTTCATGAAGAGCTCTGTATAAAACACAATCTTTAATTTCTGTTACATTTGCATTTGGAGACCTCTTCTCCCCCTCCTCCCTCCTTGTTGCTGACACTTAATACATTTTGGACATAATTTGAAAGGACTACTAATAGCAGACGCTAATATTCCAACCCCCCTCCCAATAAAAGGCCTCGCAATGAACCATCCCCCAGAAAACAACCATAAGGCATCCATGCAAAGCGGGTTCAATAACCAACGTCAAAAAAGTGAGAACTTATTTCTAGATTCCCTTGCACTTTTTACAAGTTTGCAAGATGTGTCCACTGTCAAAGAGCCTGAACTAAATGTTGCATACCAGGCAACAGACATAATTTGCAGAAGATGTTTAAGATGCACATCACACATACACACACACACACACACACAAACAAACACGCAAAAATGGTTTATGAGAAATGTTCATAATTCTGTCTGGTGCAGGCAGTGGGGTGGAGTAAACACGATAGCACCTTAGTCAAATTGCTGTCAATTTTAGGAACAAAGAAAAACCACATGCTAAAATAAGCACAGTGGCATTGCCGCCTCTCAGTCTGACTGCAGTATCTCACACACAGCATGTTCGGGTGAGGCGCTTGTATATACAATACACATCTACATTTCCACAGAGCCTTTCATGTAACAAGGCGCTTAACAATCCTGGATTGTCCCCCGAGCTGGGAGCCAAGGAGGGTGGGGAGGATAGAGAGGGACAAAAGAGCAATAAGTCTTGACATGCACACACACACACACAGAGGGGGGGAGGCAAGTGAAATTTTCTCCAGTGCTGTCTCCAAGTGCCGGGTTTTATGCCCTGAATTCCAATGGTGTTTCGTCTTTTCCGGACGCTGCGATAAGCGAAATGCTGAGCTGCTGCTGGCCTGTGTTTGCAGAGGATTGAAAAATATAAAAGAAAAATAACACGCGCAGATCTTTGAAGATCAAGCTCTTCAAGGTCAGAACAAGGAGAACAGACGAGCCTAGTGCGGTTCGTGAAATTAAAGGGGCACAAATTATATTAGGGGAAAATATTGCTTTTGGAGACCTCTTCTCCCCCTCCCCCGCCCCACTCCCGGAAGGATGGGGGGAGGGAGGAGGGGGAGAAGAGGTCTCCAAACGCAAATGTAACAGAAATTAAAGATGCAGCCATTGCCCCTAACGTAGTCAACACCAATAACAAAGTTACATTTGCATAGCGCCTTTTACGTCAGGAGGACATCCCAAGGCCCTGGACAGTCAATGTTTTTGACCCTTTTTAGAGCTCTCAGCTCTTTTTACAGCTGTTAGCAGCCCATAAACACACAACGTGCAGCATGTGCATTGCATTAGCCCAAGGCAGACAGCTAATGTGGTCAGGTGAATGCATTCCATCAGGCCCGTTCCTACTCCCAATGTCACTGGCTCGCTGCTGGGCGACAAGCTGTACGTCCGAACCTCCACAAGCTCATCATCCAAATTGACGGTGCAGGATAGGGCGATGGGGGAAATAACACTGCATTGTCAGAGGTGCTGTCCTTCGGAGATCCCTTCCGTCTGTTCAGGGGAAACGTTAAATATTGCCATGGTGCTGGTCAAGTAGAGAAGGGAGTTTCTCCCGGCATCCTGGTCAACAATCTTCCAGATTAATTAGTGATTCACTTCACAGCACTTGTGACACTTTGCACTAAGCAAAAACGGCTTGCGCCTTTTCCTATGAATACCGTTGCTACAGTCGCGTTTGGCCCACCAAAATACACAGCCACTCCACTTTATTGAGCAAAGCACTTTGAGATGTCTCAATGATGTGACAAGGCGCTATATCAAATGCAAGGATTATTATTATTATTTGCATTTTTCCTATAAAGTGCTAAAAAGTGCTTTGGAGATGACATGACAGGCGCTGTATCAAATGCAATGGATTGGAACGATTAAAAGCAGGAATAACAGATTCTACTGGGAGCGAGGTGGCACAGAACCATTTGCCTCTGTTTTAAATCTGCCAGCAATCTGAAATACAACCAAGGTCAAGTCAGGAGAAAGAAACTCAAAACAAATAAGAAATCGTTTCTACTGCTCAGCTAAAACCAAAAATAAAAAAATCGAGTTTGTTCGAGATCCAGAAGCGAATTTGTTTACAAGGCGTCACATTTATTCAGCTCATTATATCGATGACTTGCTTTCACTCCTCCCCGCAAGACTGAGACGGAAGAAAGAGAAGCCTATTATCTGGTGGGTTGCGTATGGAAAGTGGTTTTGCATCCGTCTGAATGTGGAGCAATCGATGCGATATCAGCCCATTGTTATGGTTACAGGAATCATCTCCTGACAGAATTCAATTCAATTGGCAATTCATTTCACGGCTGTTTGAAAGGGAGTTTCTCTGGCCAGCATCCTGGCCAACAATTCCCGAAGTACAATCGGTCACTCATGGCTGTTGGTAGGACATTGCTGTGCGCAACTGATTGCCGCATTTTGCCCACAGTCACTACACTTTACATTATATTCTGTGAAGCGCTTTGAGACGTCTCAACCACGTGATAAGGCGAAGTATCACGCAAGCTTTTGGTGAAAAAGTTTCACTGGCCAACTAACTAAGAAATAGCATTGTTTACTCAAAGC